ATTAGCTCACTCACTATTCCTGTCCAGTTCTCCTTTCTGCAGTCTGTTTTCTCCTGGTAGTCAGCTACTGAAATCAAACAGTGATCACCCACCACGGTGCCAGCATTTACTGTAAGACCACATTCCAGGCGCTGTGCCTAGCACAGGGTCCAGTGTGTTCCAGAACCTTTATAATATGGCGTGCTTGACCACGCACTCTCTGGTCAGAGGCCACCAAGGGTCATCCATCAAACCCCATGGCTTCAGTTTTACTGTGGCTTGCTAGGAACTCCTTCTGCAGCTTCTGGGCTCCTGCTCCCGTGGTGCCTCTTCTTCGATTCTGTGTTTCTATTTCGCAGGCTCCCCCTTGTTTGCGTGGGTCATTCTGCAGGCAGCAGTGCTCAGCCTTCCTCCTTCTCACTCCTTTAACTTCAGTCTGTAAGTTCCCATGACTGCAGCCTGTGCTAGGTGCTAAGTGTGTGCATATTTCTGGGTCTAGCTCATGGCCTTCATCGCTGCCACAGGAGGTCGACAGAACCTTCCTAAATCCATCCTCACCACCTCAGTCTCATGTTTCCACACAGCTTCTACTGAAGCTACCTTCATACTGAGCTACATCTCCAGCCCTTTTTTTGACCCTTATTTTAAGATAAGGTCTTGCTAAGTTGCTAAGTTGCCCAGGCTGGGCTGGAACTTGTGATTCTCCCAACCTCCAAGTTGCTGGGAACACAAGCCTGTGCCACTTTCTCTGCTTTGTATTCCTTCTTTGATATCCAAGTAATGAGGGGTTAGATGCTATTTGTAAATGTTATGTTACATGTGGTAGAAAGAAAGAAAGAGAAATGGTTAATGGATAAACATATCTTCATAATAAAAAGGAAGTCATAACAAATACAGTGCTTAGCGCTTCAACTGCTGCTATATTCATGGCTGGTACTTATGGGTTAAGTCTTCAGTAACATCTTCATATTCTCTCTGTCCTCAGCACAACCTTCAGCTGGTGACAGTCTCCTGCCTGCTGGTGTCACCTAAACCTTAACTCTGAAAGGTCGGTGTCACCAGCAAGGCTGCCCCTATTGACTTGTCATTTTTCTTGGCCTTTTATTACAGGGCCCAAGATAAGAGAGTAAGGGAAACAAGAGAAGGGAGAGAGCTCAAGGAGTCTTCTGCATTCTGGACAGACTTTTCTTTTAGCTACTTAATAGTGAGAACTCACTTTTCCCTAGATTATTCTGAAGTCATCCCTTGTAGTTGATTCAATACCCTTTTATTTACCTTTTGATTTCCTAGCACAGGGACACTTGGAATGGCTGCATGACTGTCTCATCTTCCAGTTTAACAAAACTACTGTTGTATCTTTCCCCGCCCTATTCTCCTCTACTCCCTCCCTTGCACTCAGTACTAAAACTTCTAGATCAGTAGAGCCCAATGCTGTATAGAAGCAAAGTTGATGGGAAGCAGAGATTTCACTAGTATATTAGTAAAAGTAAAGTGGAGAGGATCCATTTCCATTTTCTATGATGGACTCTTAAATTTCTAGACTCTTAAATCCTATCAGAGAAGCAATATCATATGCTGATCACATATTGACAACACATAATGCATCTTGGAAGACATTGTCATGCCCCAAAAGATTTGACATCATAACTGAGTTTTCAAAAATCCATGTAATGACGACACATAATTGCTTACAGATAATAGGACACATTCTGAGTCCAGCGAATTTCATGGACATGAGCAAATTGCCACAATTCATAGGTGTCAGATGAGTTCCTTGGCCAGAAGCTGTGCTGTGTGATACACAGTGATGACTAAGGGACTATGTAAATCCACAGAATAGTGATTTTGGGAGCAGTGTGTGGCTAAGTAAGAAAGATTCAAATCTACTTTTAAATGTCTGCTTCGGTAAGAGCCAAGCACCAACTGGCTCTTGTCTTATGTAATTAACTTGTCCCTGGTAGTTGGTTCATCACCCTGAAGAATGATACCATACCATGAGCCCACTGCCAATCTCCACTGTTCCCACAACAGTGGTTCCAGCCTAGTTAGCCTTGGTGAGGGAAAGGCATGTACAATCCTACGTCCCTGCCATGACCGTGTTGTCTGTGGGCATGCTGGGCAAGAACAGAAATGGATGGGGAAAGAAGTTGATGTCTACATCTTCCAACCTGATTATGAATATCCTACTACATATAGGCCTGTCCTTATTGAGCAGTCAAACATACCTTCACAGCCTGATCCATACAGGTGACCCATGAGTCTGTCCATGGAGCTGACCTTCAGACCTCCTCAACAGCTCTCCAACTGCATTTCATCTAGTTCTTGGACAATCCAGCCAAATACTTAACTAGCGCCTATGAATTATTACAGAGCTTGAACTCTTCATATCACTCCTTGCGAGCAAAATGAACAACCAGGTATCCTGCTAGACTTCTGTCCGCTAGGAAGATTTCCCCTCCTTTCTTTCAGGCTCACCTCTTTCTACCCCAAAGTGAGGCTGTAGTACAAAGCCATCTACTTTTAGATAGGACAAGCACACTGGAAGACTGCTACCTTTTTCTTCTTCAGTCAACTAGTCATAGGGCCCTCTCATATATATA